ATCCCTGATGTTGTAGTTCGTAATGCACTTGATGCTTTCCACATGCGCCGGGGGTCGTTGGTGATGAAGTGACCCTGAATTTTCTGGGTGTATATGACTTTGGCCCTTGCAATGCCTGCAGTCAATCTTTTCCTCACCTCTCGGAATGCTAATGTCTCACCTGTCCTGAGTGCAGTGTCCCTAGCTTTCAGCAGAGCTCTCACCTCAGCATTCAGCCAAGGTTTCTGATTTGGATAACAGGTTACTGTCCTGGTGGTGATGACATCATCAGCACACTTGGAGATGAAGCCAAGACCAGAGGAGATGTATTCCTCCAGGTCTACCTCTCCCTCAAATGTAGCCATCACTCTGAAGACCTGCCAAACTGTGCACTGAAAACAGTCCTGGAGCACAGTCTACATCCCTGGGCCACACCGTGACTATCTTCTGTATTGGCCTAATCCGTCTCATCAGTGGATTATATGCTGGCGTCAGCAGGATTGAGATGGGGTCGGAGAGGCCAAGATGGGGGCGTGGAAGAGCTCTGTGTGCACCGGGAATGTTAGTAAATGGAATGGTAAATGGACTGTACTTATAAAGCACCTTTCTAACTTATTTCAAGATACTCAAAGCGCTTCACACTACAATCTGTGTCCTCATTTACCCATTCATACAGCTCTATACTAGATCTCTACAAAGCTAATTGAACAAATCATTCTAAAGAGACTAATCAGTGCTTTAGAGCACATTCATACGCCGATGGGACACACATCAGAGGCTATGAGGGGTTCAGTGTCTTGCCCAGGGACACAGACATTTGACTACTGGTAGATTTGAACCCCCAACTCTCGCATTGGAGGACGACTGCTCAAACCACTCAGCCACAGCTGCCCCTGTGCGCACACATTTCAGGGTTTTGTCTCCCCATTATTGCATTATTATCATTGTGTTATTATTATTCAAGGATTCAAGGATTCAAGGGTCTTTATTTGTCATTTGCACCCCATATGGTACATTATTGTATGGTTATTGTGTTATTATTATTATTGTATTATTATTATTTTGTTATTATTATTGTATAATTAATATTGTGTTATTATAATTGTGTTATTATTGTATTATTATTATGTTATTATTATATTATTTTTATCACTATTACTGTTGTATTATTGTTATTATTATTGTAATATTATCGTTGTCTTATTATTGCATTATTGTTATTGTGATATTATTGTTGTGTTATTATTATTGTATTAATATTATTATTGTGTTATTATTAATGCATTATTTTATTTTTATTATATTGTATTGTTATTTTGTGTTGTTATTATTATTATTGTATTATTATTGTGTTGTTATTATTATTGTAGTATTATTGTATTATTATTAATGTGTTATTATTATCATCCATCTCTATTTTGGTCTCATCTGTTCAAAGGACATTGTTTAAAAAGGTGCGAGTCATTCAGATGAAACCTTGTCAACTATTCTTGCTGCCATTTTCTTTTTAGAGCAGCTTTTTTCTTGTAAAATTCATAAAGCAATTTTTGTTTTTGTTTTTTATGTCCTATCATGAACTTTAACCTAACTACTAAATTCATTCAACCTTTATTTTTACAGCTTAGTCCCACTGAGCCTCGGGGACTCGTTTACAAGAGAGACCTGAACGACGTCTGTAGAGTCTGAGATGGGGCTTGTGTATTTTCTGTTTGTTTTTGATTTCTCTGAGCATTGCACGGTCTGACCTTGGGGTGAAAATACTGGGACATCAACTCCTTGGGATATTATACGTTTTGTTGCTCCTCTAAGGTAATTGCTGATGTCTTTCCGCACTGGCAATTTGTTGACACACACCTGTCTGCTCCAGAGCAGCAAGCTGAACACACACTGCATAAAGATGATCACACTGATGATGATCAGCTAATCAAAACATTTGATCAGCAGCATCTGACTGATACTGAACCTCTTAAATCCTGTGGAACAGCGTTTCCATTTTGGCTTCATCTTGGTTTATGAAGAATTTACTCGCTTTTTTCTTGAATATAACTTTTGAGAATTAGACATTTAATTTCACTATACTTTGCTATGCTGCTCACACAACGCCACAATAAAGCAGTTTGTACAGTGATACCAAACATCACCTGGTGTCCTCCAAATTGATTCGACTGATGATCCACGCCACCATGAAAACAAAAGGGATTCCTGCGAGTCAGAGAGACACGGAGAGTGTTTAGATTCTTCTTCTGCCAGATCTTCACAAGGTGCCACACAGGAAATATGACTCTAACACTAACACAATAAACAGCCGGACCTCGGGGGTGATGCATTAACTAAGGAAGTGTTGGTAGTCATGATAGATAGTGGAAGAAGGTGTCACATGGCGACAGAACGAAACAAAACGATGGAAACTCTTTGCAGCCAGACCGCTCTCTGAATACACCGGTGGACGTTAAAGAATGACACTCTCTGTCTTTGTGACATCCTCTTCTGCAACATAGAAACTTATGGAGGAAATGAATGAGGAATTTGGCTGATAGTTAAAGACACTAAACCTCCAAATTTGCTCAAATTTCAAGTTATTTTATCACCAACAAAATAAAAATAACTGATTATTCCCCGTTTCAATATATTTTGTCTTCATAGCAGCAGGAAAAAAGTTTTGTATACCTCTCCATGTTTGTTTTTGTAATTATTTACGTGTGTTTCTTTGTCTTTCTTCCCATAGAAAGTACACCTGGACTGGTCATTCTGATCCTATCCGCTCTAACCCCGGCTGGTTGAGGCAGATGACCACCCAACTGGTTCTGCTGGGTGTTTTTTCCCGTTAAAAGGGAGTTTTTCTTTTCCACTATGGCCAGTCTGTGGCCCAGGATGGGAAACTGCAAAAAGGTCAAGTCAACATAATCTGTTGGTTTCCTTAGATGGATAACTTTAAATATTTTAAAGATATTTTAAAATGTGTTGAAGATTTGCAGGACACCAAAGTTCATGCTCAGTAATCCAGGAAATAATCCAACAATGTTCAGTCAGGTCATCTGGACGGTTTCTTTTTTTGTTGTTTTGGCTGAGAAGTGTCATCCTTCATTCAAAGGACTTCTTCAGGCCGAGGAGCCACAAAACAAACTGGAGTCCCACAAGCACCAACTCCCATAGCGGGAAAACCAGTTTGATTGTTATAAGATGGTTTCTGGGGCACGCCCTCTCCCCCATCAACTCCTCCGAGGCATCCACGCCAAAATGGTTCCAAACACCAAATACCATTTTGGCATGGATGCCTGGAGACTCCAGTTTGTTTCTGGCTCCTCTGACTGAAGAAGTCCTTTGGATGAAGGACGAAACATCTTGGCAAAAAAAATAAAATTCTTGATGACTTGACTGAACTTTGTTGAAGATTTGCAGGAATTATCAACAAATCCCCCCTTAAGGTGAAAACCTGTTGTGGAACTCCATCATTTCAGCCACATTGTTAAATCCACCTGACAATAAGGGAAACAGGCAGCAGATGCTTTGAGTTTTGGAAGTTGGGATTTTGCTACATTCAGAAACCCATCAGTGATTTTCAACCACTGTGCCACATTAGTGTGCCACGGCTAGCTGAGGTCCAAATTCACCACTTTACTGTGACTTTACCACATAGAGAAAATGTTTTTGATGAAAGTTTGCAGCTTTAAAAATAAATACACGGACGGAAGGAACGTTGTGCTGAACCTGGAATTTTGGGGCGTTTGTGAAAATGTCCCATTCGCTGGCACAGACTGAACATGATTTAATGCTTTTAGCCCAGTAATCTTTATGTTGTTTCACTTTGGAGCATTTGTTGTAAACTCTGGACTGACATCGTGCAGGTTGTGTCTTGTCATTAGGAGGCGGCAGGGGAACGCAGCTGCAGAGCAGCAGTGAGTATCCAGCGAAACATGGAGCTCTACTGAAACTGTTCCGTTCTAGTTTTCTCTTGATGTTCCCGTCGAAGCCTAAATGATGTTCACATATTATTCAGATATGTTTGCTCGTTCCAGCTAATCAGATGTTCTGGTGTAGCCTACCCCAGCCGATGAACATATAGATGGAGAGGCGGGTAGAGTTCGTATAGATGACGAGCAGCAGCGTGTGCAGGTAGAGACCCTCCACCAGAAGCCAGAAGAAGTTGGCCATAATGAAGTAGTTGAAGAACACCAGGCTAGTTTTACAACCAACCTGCAACAACATCATAGTTTACTGCACGAAGTAGAAAGTCATCGTTAAGATCATTTTATTACAGAGTAGAAGAATGTGTGGCTACGTCAGGATACATTTAGAGAACAAGCAAACATCCTAAATGGAGGAGTTAATAAAAATAATCTGTTTTAAGTGACTTATTTCTGTCACGCGATGTTGACTTTGTTTTTATTGCACCAGAGTCTGCAGCCCTGTCCAAAAACTTTCACGTTTAGATTCTTATCATCTGTCATGAAGCACCATGATGGAGACGACGTTCCCACGATTATTCACCAACAGAACAGAAAGAAGCACAGAGTCACAAAAACGACTAAAATACATGAGATGAAGGAAAATAAAGAGTTTGTTGTTAAACTTTCAGGTGATCTTGAGCAAAAGTCCTTCATCAAATACTTTCAAAGTTTTCTTTGAATCTTGGCTGTTTTTTGTCTTTTTTCACTTCAATTCCTGATCATGTCTGGAGAAATGTTTTCACTTTATTTAGACACTAAACTTTGGCAAACAAATCATTCAGACACAAAATGTCTTCTGAACTCGAAGGATGAACCAGTCATGTAAAGAATAACAGAAATAAAACAAAACTTTTTGAATTACTAGTAGATCTGTAGGTAGTTTTGTTTTTCAACAGTACAAGACAATATTTAATTGATATGATCAATTATGGAAAAATATATTCACAACTATTTAAATTAATATTGTAATTTAAATTATTGACATAATTTGTTAACATTGGAAACACTGCATTTATTGCACCTAAAGACCAATTAATTGACTT